TTTCGTAAAACCTAGCGGAGTACATATTTATGCATTTGATATTTTGTTTGTAATTTACTTCACAAAGCACGTGTACTTGTGTACAAGTGTACAACGCTTGTGTATATTCATGAACTGATAATATCTCATCTCATATTTCTTTTTTGATGAGATTTTCTATTTTAATACACCAATACTTAGAGATTTAGTTATTTACTTGGATTAGTCAGAGTTTTAATTGATTCTACGATACTGCAATCGCGATAAGAGTGGTGCCTTTAGCGGTCGTATGTCAGTGCAATCACATTTCTCGGGTAAATTGAATACATACGAGACGGTTTAATGACAAGATCTTGGTGAAAAATTAATTTAATGAAAATATGAACAAAGATAGGCTTACCATACGTCCCACTTCAAGCGGGACAGTCCCGCTTTTTAGCGTCTTGTCCCGCCGTCCCGACAAGTCAGCCAAATGTCCGGCTTTTGCGTTCAGCCCTCCAGCATAATACACGAACATGTTCTCGTTACTGTTGTTGCTGTGTAGCGCAACGCTAGCGTACTTACTGAAGGTGAATGCGTTATTTTGTTTGTTTCGTTGTTTCCCGCTAACATTGTTAGCGAACGTATCACATGTAAAATCAATTCTAAATGGTCCTGTTCATGTTCATGTAACATTGAACAACGTTTTTTTAAAGGCGTTATCTACAGAAAAACATGCTTGGGCGAATAAGTAAATTCTCAAAACTTGAAGACGGCAGACTATTTCATTATTCTTTATTCCTTTTGCTGTACATAAAAAAAATCTAAATTCGGATCATTTGTATCGTTAGCGTTTATTCCTTTCTATCTTTCGAACTGAACTCGATATTTAGACAGAGAATATGCGCATGAACTCTCGATGACAATATTCTCAATGAAGACAGCCGGGATGGCTTAAATGTAGGCCTAGGTAGTAAAATCGGAAACTGTAAAGTTACAGGAGAAGTCCCGTCCCGCCTTGAAAAAATATGGTAACCCTAAACAAAGATCAACCGAGAAAACATACCCGAAAGTTGCAAAAAAGTACAAAAAAAGAATAATCCAATAGGGATCTCCGCTACTGCTTGAGGCCGGCGTAATTTCAGTTTACTGACTTGTAGTAGCGAGACGCCATTGTACGGAGAAAATTGTAGCAGATTTGTCAGTTCATTTTGAGCGCCGTGTGGATGGTTCTCATCGTCGCGCGAGGAGTCAACTGTGGCTGATTATTGAAACATGTCCACTAAAACATGCCTAAGTCTTCCCCAGTTTATGGGCTATCGAGATGAAAGATGTCTTGTTTGAGAAAGTATTTTCTTCCGCCGAGGGTACCAATCTCAAAATTTCAATTTCTACTTAGTTTACGAGGAAATGGCGACGGAATGTTAGAAAAATAGAAATTTCTCCGGGATCGGGTGCTTTTTTGTTGTTGCCATGAGAACGAAACGTCAGCCCAGTCTTTTGAGGAAACGAACAATACTAGGATAATAGGAAAACATATTTGAAAAGTTTCATCCAGATTGATCCAGCCGTTTAGATGCTTCAACTAACAGACAGATACGCACATACAGACAGACAGACAGAACGACTGATAATAACGCTCTCCTAGAGCGGAGACCCAATAATATTGCTGTACCTACTGCTGTAACACAGCACATGCAACAATACAAGAATCCGTATTCTTCCACACTGTTTATCTGCAGTCATCTGGGATTTACAAATTTGCAAGACAAATAATTTCTTCTGCTCGAATTGACATTTTCATATGAGACCCATTTATTATCAAATAATAAACACTAGATTTTATATTGAATATTGCTGGGATTACATAAACGCAGATACACGTAGTGCACAAAAATCAAATAACAAAAACTCTTTAAGTCTCGTGAACTCCAGAAAAGGCATTTTCACGAGTGATTTCAATTTACATTTGGAATTTTACGTAATCAGAAGTCGACCTCGCTGTTTATTGCAATTCTTGGTCGTATAATCTAGTAATTCGAGTGGTATATTCAGATTTTTATATTTGTAAAACTTATGGAAGACTACTTTGACACAAAATTCAGCTGAAATAAATGCAATATTTTCCAGATAGTTTTTATTTTTATTTTACTCCGAATTTAGTATCCCTCTTTTGTCAGCGATCTGAAAAATTTTCATCTCGCTAATTGAAATAATTTTGTAAGTTTATACCGAAAAATGAAATAAATGCTATTGAATAATCACCTTTCATAAAATTAGGCATTCCACTTCCTATAATTTACCTTCGAATATTTTATTGCTTTATCCAAACACAGACTTCTTGTTGAGATTAGTTAGTATGTTTATACAAGGCTCATTATTTTCAAATCCAGATCATGAATTGTAAATAACTCTGCTCATAAACCGTGAATATTTTTCTGATATTGACCCGTCAACTTATGTTTGAAATACTTTTGGCCCATGATCAACTTTTCAGCGAAGATGACAAATTGTTTTGGCGATAGCGTTTGGTAGATTGTGATTTTCAAATAAGTCATATAAAAAAATTGATGATAACCGAACTTGATATAAATAATAACAGTAATATTTAAATAACGTAGTAAAGAGTGCATACTTATTGCACTACAAGGTCCACGACCCATAATTTTCACCACTACATACAAATACATATTGAAAAATAAACGTAAAAAGTTTAACCCAAATTCTGCCGATGTTCTCATATGGGTGTCTGTACACTAAGCTGTCGAATTCCGGTACCTAAAGTGTCAATACCGACTGTTAATACCGGAATTAGTTGCATTTTAAATGGAGTATTGAATTTCTCGGTAACGATGTTAACTATCATAATGATTGTAGTATTTTTTTTGTTAGAAAATCGCTAAATCTAAAGGTAATTAGTTATTTAGAGCCCAACCATTTTCAAGACACGGAAGAACAAAGTTCAATATTGGTATTTTACACATTTCAGCATTAGGTCGTAGATGTAAAATTATTTACGGGAAGAGCTATTTTGTATCAAATCTCTATTTACAGATGTATTCCGCCTGTCCGATTCCTTACTGATGCGACTTAGTTAAAGCGCCTAAATGCAATTACAAAAGACAACTAGTTGTAATAAAACGATTCGTGTTTATTATTGATATATTAGGCAATGACGTATTTTCTATACATTCTACAATCAAACATAGTATGCCACTGATATGTAAGTTATCTAATCTTTGCAGGCCGGTACAGCATGTGGTTAGATTCCGACTGTCTATTTGAAACAAATTATGCGGTTTACATTTACATTTACAAATTGACCATGTTTGATAAGTTGATTTTCTACATCCTTCAATCATTTTACCGGAAGAATTTGAAACCAGGTGTGATGTCGTCAATCGGTCTCAACATAATTTCCCCCCATTATTAACGGTTAATATGTACGCTGGCCATGCTAGTTTAGTTTAGTAAATCGCAGACGCTACTTCCATCGCAGTAAAATTGGAATGATGCGATTCATTGGATTACGTCATATCTTCCCCCACCTTCGTAACAAGAGAGAGCAAAAAGGGAAAAAACGGCCGCGAATACCTCATCCTGAACTTCTTCTATATATTTTCCCCTTTTCCTTTTTTAATGACGTATAGATACTTCAATGGCACTAAACGGTATGTGCCAAAGGACATTTATACACGTTCTTGGCACTGAAAGAAAAACATTTTGCCGATGATGCCTGCCTGCTCGTCAGTGCAAAAAATGTAATCTCACCCCAAGCCAAGGAGAACACTAAAATAAAGAAAGTGATTGGATGATATGTAATAAACCCACTGTGAATGTTACAAAATCCAAAGTCATGTTGTTTAGCTCTGAAACTCGAACCAAAGATGCAAACCTATCAATTAAAATTAGTCGTTTCAGACTTGAAATTGTCCACTCTTTTAAATATCTTGGGCTTCTTATTGACGACAAACTAAATTGAAAACCCATATCACTGAACTGCATAAGAGACTGGCAAGATCAGATGGAATTCTGGGGAAGCTCAGGCATTACGTTCAGGACAAAACTTTCCGAACTGATTACTTTTCCCTTTCCCCGTCTCATATCCAGTATTCGAAACTGTAAGGGGGTTCCATTATCAAATCAACGATGCAAAGATTGGACGTTTTACAAAATAGGGCAGTTAGAATTCTCTAGAGTCTAGAGTTAGACTATCATAATGACAAGTATTCTTAAGTAAATATTAACTCATGATGTTGTAATGATATTAAAAATTAAAAATTCGAATATAGTTTGAAAACTGAACTGATACCAAATTTTTAAGAGAAATATGATCATAAATTAATAAATTTGATTCTATAACTCCAGATGGAATAGATAAGCTACAATATTTTAGCTCAGTTGAAATGGGGAAAGTTATTAATTAATTTACTTTCTTAATAATATGTCTAGAAATGAACTGAATTGTTAACAAATGAAACAAATAACGCAATACAATACCATTCTCAATTGGATGGATGAAAGGTAGAAAAATTGATATTTTATGGTTTCTTATTTGCATTAGTTACTCCATGAAATTAACCTTGACCTTTAGTACCCATTATTAGCCAGCATACAGAATAGAACAGAATCCATTTTTATGTCAGTTTAGATCATTTCCAAATTTGTTCTGAAAATGCTCAAAAGTTTCCAAAACAAAAATTATTATTAATATTAATTAGGCAAATAAATGCAAGTTATGTCTTTATACAGAACATTTACTTGTTCAAGTTGGCGTAACAATAGAAATTGAAACGAGGAAATAAAACAGATTGACATTATTAGTACATTTTAATCATATAGTGATTTTCTTAAATAATTGCAATTTCGCTCATAAAACTTTGTCGGGTTTTGAACTTTGGGCTTTGTAAACACAAAAATGGGAAACACCTCTTTAAATTTTAAAATTATATGCTCATCTGATAAATCGTTTTCGAGCTTGAGTGCTTGTCTTATTTCTTTGTCAAAAATCTCGAGAGGATCTGTAGTTGACTTCTCATGTTTCATAAAAACGACATAGTCACCCACAGTTGCTGAAAACATTTTGAGTGAAGAAGCGTCATTTCTCTTTCACGTACAATTTCTTGAAGCTTTATTTTAGATGAATTTTGAATTTGATCAAAAACTTGTTGATTTCGTCTAAGTGCCGCAAAATTATTAGGATGTGCTTTTATATTGACATAGAAGTCTTCAACAATCAAATTGAGTAAAAGCCTCTTTTGTCTCCAATCAGTTCCTTCAACGCTGAAACCTGTGATATCTCCCCGATTAATTGCATAGGCAGCACAACAACCGCCAGGTTTCAAAACTCGTTCACATTCTTTTTCAAGTAATTTTAGATCAAGAAAATGAATAGAAGTGGCGAAAGTGATGAGATCAACACTATTGTCTTCCACAGAAAAATCATAACCATCAATCAATTCGAAAACAACGTTCCCACATTTATTCAGTCTTTTTGCTTCCTCGATTTTAGCTTCGCTAATATCAATCCCCAGTATTGATTCAAAATACGACGTGAAGGTTTGCGTTGACAATGTTCCACTTCCACATCCTACATCCAACATTTTTTCAAACTTTCCTTCTTCATTTTTTGCATTGCTATTTTTTTCTAAATATTTCATAATTGTTTCACGTACCGCAGCAGGATAAGAAGGTCGATGTTTTGCATAGATATATGCTAATTCTTTATCTTCATACAATCGTATGAAAGTCTTATCGCTGCATTTCGACGCCATTCTTCTCGATGGATGTCTGCTCCAATGGAACTGGTCTAACCCTTCTCTTTATATATTCCACTGCAATAATCGATCAAAACGTTACGTAGTACAAAATTACCCATAAACAGCGAGCGAGATCGTCTTTTGATTACGTAAAATTTCAAATGTAGATTGAAATCACTAGTGGACTGAAAGTGCCTTTTCTGGAGTTGATGATATTTCTTGTTATCTGAATTTGGTGCCTCTAGAAGCGTAGCTGCCGTTATGTAATCCGAGGAACATTCAATATAGCATCTGGTGTTTATTATTTGATAGTAAACTGAACTTATGTGAAAATGCCAATTTGAGCGAAGAAAATTATTTATCGGATAAACAGTACAGGAGAAAAGGGATCTTTGTGTTGTTTCATGTGCTGTAAATGTACAGAAATATTATTGAATCAATGAATAATTCTTTGAAGATACCTCTAAATATACAGGTTCACTTTAAAAACGGAACCTACATATTTCCTACTACTTAGTGGAGGTGGAGTAAATTATTTGATTTTGTTTACACTAGCAGACAGACTACTTGAACTTCTGTTTAAACATGATTGTACCCAAATATAGAACGTTTTGCATTAAAGTTGTGTTCTCTCCGGAATATAATCCAAATAACCTCCTAGGCATAGCAGACAGACTAATATCCGCTCCGCGAAAGTGTCAACAAACCTCTAAGTTTTCTGCTGAATTGCTCTTTCTGCTGTCTGAATATGTCAATGCCAAACATATTGATTACCTTGGTACAACACCTCCGAAAAAAGTCCTGCAGAGAAATTACACTCAATATATTGCAAAGCATGGGAAGCCTTGTCCAAGCATTGTATAACTGTTTCCGTGTTTGTTTGAAGACGAAAATCGAGCGGTGAATATAGAGCGCAATGTGGCGGCGCTGAGGAGGTTCTGAGCATTATTGGGCGATAGACTGAGTTGATTAATGATATCAGCAAGACAGGGCGAATCCCCACGTCCTTGACTGGATGGGAGAGCAATTTTAGAAGAGATTGATCAGCAGGAAGTGTGACGTCGAGTGGGGACCTCGTTCACTCGACTTGGCCAACCTAGATTTTTAGTGGGGTTCGAGTGCGATGAATGAGGCACCCACCCTACGTTACTGCTGAACCGTCATTCCTGAAATCGCCCTCTCAGTCAGTCAAATGTGTATTTGATGTGTGACTTCGGGCTGCTGATACCCCTGGTCACCTCTATGAACCCCTCTCCATCGTTCAAGTGATATCCAGAACTTCCTCGGTACCGTATTCGCCGTTTGTGCTTTTTCATTTTTGCGTTTAAACCAATAGGGACCGATTATGCCATGTTTGGAAATGATCACCCATGTTGCGCATTTTATTGGGTGTTACGGTCTCTGTACGACTTCCTCTGAAGATGCCGTTTCCCCGGAAACTTTAATGGTGCTTGACATGTCCTGGTAGGAGATATTGCGCTTCAGCAGAAAACCAAGTGACTGATTGACAATTATTTCCGAACGGATGCAAGTCTGTCCCTAATGCCAAGGTGGTAATTTGGAACATATTCCAGAGAAAACATAACTTTTGTACAAGCGTCCCAGATTTCTGAAACTTTGGGGTATATTAATACACAAACAAGAGTTCAAGCGCGAACAAAATTAAACCGAAAAAATCATATAAAAAGGTGAATGCAACGCTCGTTTCAATGAAAACGACATAAATGATATTTACACGGTAAATGTGAAAAAATATGAATAATAGCAAATTAATTGTTATATTAAATGTTTCAATCCTATTAAGCCTTATGCGCAAAATATCTAATGTTGGGTCCAATGATTCTCCTGCACAAATCTTTCATATAAAATGCGCATATATTTTCAAATGATAAGGACCTAAATTTGTTATTGCATAACCAGAAATTTCCGAAAGATATCCAATATAAATTACTAGATGGGCGGACAAAAATTAAACATATTTGTTTTAGGACTAGGCTTCATGTCCTAAAATTGAATAGTATATATATTACTCACTTGAAATAATGAAAAATTAAAAAAAAAAAACTGGCTGTAGTTGTTTATATACAGTACTGTAAATAATGAACATGCTAGCAGATATCACAAATTTATGAACATATAAAACGGAACAAAAATGAGTTTCACTTAAATGTACTCCATCAAAAACACATAAATGGTTAGTTAATAGAAAACATTGCATTATTAAAATGTTGGTTCTATATCCTACATAATAACATCTATTACGCCGCAGTATATATTCAGTGCTCGGAGAGTTTAGTTTCAAATTTTAATAAACACCATTGCGTGGTGTTCCTGGTGTAAATTCTGAAATAATCTAACTTATAATATATATGAAATCCATGATAGCGTGGTGAATTAAATATTGCAATGGAGAAATAAATGTTACTGGTAATTTCATAACAACTAATGAAGTATTTTACAGAAAGTAGATATATTATCTGAGTCAGTCGCCAAAATTAAATATTTAAATTATGATATAGCTAGCTACTCCCAGCTTCAAATGAAGCGGATCATTCGTTACGTTCTTGAGCCTCGGTTTGTTCGACAAATTAAAACTTAGTAACGTTGGAACTACACACCCTATTATAAAATATAATATTTATCTTAGATTTCTAATTGGTTTTTGTTGTCTTCCTTGTTCTCAACAAATATAAATCTATGTATAAACCTGGATAGATAGATATAAATAAATTCTATAAACAGATTTTACTATTTTACTATTGATAGCTCCCGAAAACCTTAACCTCGAGCAAATGGGCTATTAATGACCTCAATATGGTACTAAGCAAATTTATATGAAAGATGTCATGAATACTCAGCTATGGACTTGACCTCATTCAACGTGTGATGTCGTAACAATCTACCAACACGTCATGTTCTTTAATGAGCTTACTATAAGTCAAACTTCCTCAATTGCAAATTTGATCAATCGTATCCGTCTTTGAAATTGCCTCTAATTTAACACGATTTACGACTGCTTTAACCATCTTTCACGTTTAACCTTATTTTTAATTTATTGTTGAAAGAAATGAAAAGGAACTTGCCGGACACCCTTCATGTTTCATATCAATCACTAATTACATGATCATTGGTGGTGTCAATTACATGTTTAAAAAATGAGCTCAGAATGAAGTCACTAGAAATATCTCGGCAGTGAAAGATTTTTATGTTTGTAAATTGTTTTACCGTGATCAAGGATATTTTTTTTCAATGATAGATTTGTTATTGATTGACATTTAATTTATTGAACTTATAAGTAAGAGTTTTAGGATCAAACTCTTTCGTAATTCTTGTTAATTATTTTTTGTTCATCGCATGCAAGAAATCATGTTCTTCTACAGCCTACGCACTTCCGAGTGGTCTTCCGTTATTCAGATCAATCACTTTTATAAGATTATTCAATTATTATCAATTTTATGTTCGACGATGGAACTCATATGGCTAGTTATATCACGGCAGCATTCGTATAATGAAGCTTTGACTAATTGGATATTGACGACGTGATACATATACACGAATATATATAGAATAGACACTGGTCTGCTAGATCAGGGGTTTGAGACCTTTATTGATGTGAGAAATGTGCAGCTAGCTTTTTTCCTGAATACTTAATCCAAATTATTTATTTACTGACTGAGCTTGCAACTCGAAGTTTATTTTCCATGTGTTCGTCTGTCATAACCAATCGAGAAGGAGAATTAATGACGCCCATTTTAGAAAAAGAGTTTTATCCCAATATCTTGAGTCAAAAAGTGATCTATTCTGTGACTTTTTTCAAATGTGGAAAGTTATTTTGGTCGAGATGTTATCGGTAAAAAGATTCATTTCCAAATACTTTCCTGTCAAATCTGTCTCATTCTAGAATATGCATTTGGCACATTTTCCTTGTGGGCCACATTCGCAGGTTGCACACCTCTGGTCTAGACTAGTTCTACAATTACAAAAATCCATGATGAGGTCTCAAATTGCGTTGAAAGGCAGAGCCACAATACAACCAATATGTATGCAGACATCACATCCTCATTGTTACTCTGCCTGCGTTGCCTGAAGCAATAATCAACGTTGCTTTCTAATTGATAAATAGTTTCCTGTAGGATACAACAGCTTTGAGCTCATCGCACGTGACACTTTATTCTCACACCAGAATTGCTTGAGAAAGCATGTGAACGAGTTCTGAATCTTAGCGATGGAGGTTACGCTCTCAATACAAATCATTTGCGAAACTATACAACTTTATTTGTTGGTTGGAGGAACTAGCAGAAGACATAGGAAAGTAGCACCCAATCTAATTGGTATCCGTGTGCAAACGCAATCTAATCATAGTTCGGCAATAAAGCGCAATCAACCAATCTATGTTATAATCCAAAATTCATTCAAATTAACGTTCCAGGCAACTGTAGGCCTATATAATCACAGGAAAACGGCCTGTATTTTGATGCAACATAAAAAGCAAATCAAAGATTTGTTTGAGCTTTGGCTTAAAGTTACAGTGTCAAACGTTAAAATGGTGTCATTTCCGTGCTTGTGTGTCATAGATGATAATTTTATGAATAATACAATAAACGTTTTGTGATCATGGAATGGAGAATGAGAATCTTCTGACGACAGATATATATTCTAGGAATCTTCTTATTAAAGCTGAATAAACCAAAAAAAAATTCAATCCATTTAAATTTGTATTGTTCGTGTATCCAAGTTCTATAATTACAATTCATTTTTAAAAATGTCTAACAAATAAATCCGATTTAATAAACTAAATGTAATTTGTTGCATACCATGTACCATGAGTGATACCATGATAATACATCAAAACTTATTCATTTTGATAGTCGTGGCTGCTAAAGCAATACAATGATCATTAGGAACTTGACCCGGTTTTGATTTTACATCTCAGCCTGCTAGGGCATATTTTACATTTTACCATGGACATATATATTGGATGTCGTTTTCTTTTAAACGAGCTTTGCATTCACTTTTTTACTTTCTTTTTTCGGTAATACAGGGTGACCTAAAAAACTGAACACATTTATATATATTTCAAATAGCCATTTGAAAACAATTCAATTTACAGTAGTTTGCGCTCGAAGTTCTGTTCGCTGATTATTATACCCCAAAGTTTCAGAAATCTAGGAAGCTTGTACAAAAGTTATGCTTTCTCCAGAATATGTTCCAAATTACCACCTTGGCATTGGAGACAGAATTGCATCCGCTGGACAAAATTATCAAATGGGTACCTTATTCATCAGACTTGAAACCCTCTCGTTTTAGCTGTAAGAGTATTCGAAAGATAATGAGTAACCTCCGTGTTAATAAATGTTTAAAAAGTTGTAAGTTTAAAACTTAAGAGTGGAGTTATAGTGTACAATAACAACGCTCATGAGTAATTGAAATTGGACTTGCTAGCAAACGAGACCAGGATTTTTGATTTTCAATAATATTTGCTTGGTTGACCGATGTCAGATTTTGAAGATATATTTTTTAGGCTCAGGCATGTTGAGTCTCCAAGCTTACGCAACCTAACGATTAACGATTGAATACTTGTTTCTTAGAAAATTTTCCTTTTTTATTGTTAAATAATAAAATTCACGACTAACGCGATCGCGGAAGCGTCACAAGTGCTCTAATTTTTAATATCATCGCACCTTAAAACGATTTCCATAAAGCCCACAGACATTTTTGAAATAAATAAAACTAATAGACTTCTAGTGAAAAATACAATATTAAATCAATCAAAATTTCAAAGCAATTGGTTTCATAGTTGATGAGAAAGGCAATTTTCCATCACGATAGAAAAAAATACCAACAACAGCTTGATGACAAAACTACTAAAAAGCGAGGCCGACTCCTGGATTATGTGAAATTTCAAATGTAGATTGAAATCACTTGTGGATTGAAAGTGCCTTCAATTGAGTGAATAAGACTTAATGAGTTATTGTTATCTGATTTTCGTGCCTCTCGTGCCCCCTTTTCGTGTAATACCATGAACATTCAATATAAAATTTATTGTTCATTAATTGATAATAAACAGGACTCATGAGGAAATTGTAGCAAAGGTAATTATTTGTCGTGCAAATGTGTAAACTCAACCAGATCACTTAAATGAAGTAAATTATTTGATTTTGTTAACACTTGAACTTTGCTTGTTCATGATTGTACCCAAACGTAGGACTTTTTGCATGAAAGTTGTGTTTTCCCCAGAATATAATCCAAATCCCCTCCTATGCATATTAAACAGAATAATATTCGCTCCGCAAAAGTGTCAATCACCCTCTAAGTTTTTTGCTGAAGAGCTCTTTCTGTTATCTGGGTATGTCAATGGCAAAAATATTGATTACCTTGGTACAGCACCTCCGATTAAAGTCTTACAGAGAGGGTGACACCCAGTACAAACATTGCATAACTGGTCCGTGTTTGTTTGAAAACGAAAATCAAGCGGTGAATATAGAGCGCAATGTGGCGAGGCTGAAAAAGTTTTAGGTGCCATTTGGACGATGTAGATTGCAGAGGGATAGATTGGGTTGATTAGTGATTTCAGCAGGATGATCCTCACATATCAAATTATGCCCTTGACTGGCTGGGGGAGCGATTTAAGAAAAGTATGATAAGCAGGAAGTGTGACGTCGGGTGGGGACCTCGTTCACTCGACTAGAACAACTTGAGGGATTTTGATGGGGATTCAGTTTTGGAGTGTAATGATTTCACTGCACAATATACTCAATTCAAATAATGGACTTATTTTGAAACAAAATTGGGTGTAGTTATATATATATTGTATAAATAATAAACATGCTCAGATATCGCAAAATTATGTACATATAAAACGAAACAAGATAGAGTTACACTCGTTAAAGGAAAAATAACTTTTTGGGTTGGTCTGTGGCCCCTAGTAAATATACAAAAACACGCAAACGGTCAGTTCATATCGGAGAAAACATTGCATTAGGAAATACTGGTTGTATATCCTACTGAATGAATCCAATACGTCGGTGGATATGTCCAGTGCTCGAAGTGTTTAGTTTTGATTTTATTTCATTCACATCCCACTATTATTTCGTTAATTGTTGCAAAATATCTTCAAACTTAAACATTTTTTCTACTGCAATTTCAATGCATCAAATTAATTTTGCGAACAAGTATATGGGATAAACCATTTCAACGTTTAAAATGATGTAGTCGTCAGAATTTCCATCGTTCAAACGCAGGGATTTCCTGATGTTGTTACCAAAGTTTTCCAAAGGATCAATATTTGGTTTACCTTGTTTCATTAAAGTGATATAATCGCCAAATGTCCCAAATATGTCCTTAAGCTGGCGTAATGACATTTTCGTTTCGCAAATGATTTCTTCAAGTAATTCTTTTGTTTTGTTTTGTATTCGATCATAGATCGGCCGATTTCGGTTGAGCGCCGAAAAGTTACATGGATGAGCATCTATGTCGATCATAAATTCAGCTATGAATGGATTCAACAACACTTCAAGATGCTTGGAGTCACTCTCCGGTTTGGTCACCTCTTTAATGCTCCCAAAGTTCATTATATAAAAAGCGCAACATCCACCCGGTTTCAAAATTCTTTCACATTCTTTTTCAAATAACCTTATATCAAGATAATGAATCGATGTTCCACAAGTGATGAGATCAACTGTGTTGTCTTCTATAGGATATTTGTAACTATCAATCACCTTAAAAAAAACGTTTTTACACTTGTTCAACTTTTTTGCTTCTTCGATTTTAGCGCTGCTGATATCGACTCCAAGTATTGATTCAAAATACGGAGAAAAAGGTTGTGTTGACAATGTTCCACTTCCACATCCTACATCTAGCATTTGTTTGAACTTCCCATCTTGAGTGTTGATTAGATGCTTTTTCTTCAAATATCCTATAATTGATTCATGTACAATGTGAGGGTATGAGGGTCGATATTTTGCATAACTTTCTGCTAAATCTTTATCTTCGTAAGCGCGAATGAGCTTGGTGTTCTCATTGTCGGTATGGGGCTCTTCCATTATAAATAATTTGTTATATTACGATGAACGACATATCCTGAGAATATATGTTAAGTCAGGTAGCAGGTTATGGGACATACCAGTGATTTGATATTATAAGTTACTTTCGCAATAGTCTCACAAGGAAAAATATTTACGGACTAAGCTCCGTATGAATTAAATGATAATTACGCGATGCCAAAAAACCTCAATATTGAATATATTTAAATATAGATTTTTTGAAAAAAAAATTTCGTGTATTCTGTTCTAAAAAAAATTCTATAAACTTAAACAGTTTTTACTATTGGCATTTATTAAAAGCTTCTGACTACCTGACCCCAAGCAAATGGGCTATCGTTGACCTTCATCTGGTAATACGCAAATTTATATAAAAGATGTCATGAATACTCAACTATGAACTTTACCTCATTCTACGAGTGATATATATCGTGACAACCTAACAAAACTTTTTCTTTGTTAATGCGCTTATTATTATTCAAACCTTTTTATTTGTAAATTTGACCAGTCGTATCCGACTTTGGAGTTTCCTCTAATTTAACACGATTTACAATTACCTTGGCCGCATTTCACGTTTAACATGGTATTATTTGCAATTTATTGTTTGTTCATCGAATGAAAGAAATAAAAAGAAACTTCCCAGACACCCTTCATGTTTTATATCAGTCATTATCACATGATCGCTTAGTCATTGTCATTACCAATTTTGAAAATAGAAATCAGAATGAAGTCACTTCAATTATTCAAATCAATCACTTTTACAAGAGTATTCAATTATTGTCAATTTTATGTTCGATGATAGAACTCAAGTTGATAGAAATATCACGACAGCCTGTGTAAAAATAAAATTTGACTAGTTGGAACATTGACGACTTGCAAGTCGAATATATAAAGAATAGACATTGGTATAGACCAAGGTGTGCAACCTTCAATACAGCAGTGATAGATACGAATAACTTGGTGCAACCACGGGTCGCACCGTAACACTAAACTTAGTCTTTCCAGTAGTTACAGAAATAAAAATAGATTCTTTTTGTTATTGATGTGAAAATATGTGCAGCTAGTTTTTGTCCCCGAATTCCTATTTCAAATGTTCTATTCAATTCAATAACAGAGCTAGCAATTCAAAATCCATTTTCCAAATGATCATCTATCAGAACCAATCGAAAAGAAGATTTGATGACCCCCATTTTAGAAAAACAAAAGCCAAAAAGTTGAGCCAAAAAGTGCCATATTTAAAGGCATGAATTATTTATATGTTCGATAAAAAAGACGTCAAACAATGACAAATATATCATTAAAAAAATTATATTTTTGATTACATAAAAAATTACATTCGTAAATTTTTTTTTACTTTTTACTGTCGTGTTATTTCTAGCGACTTCATTCTGAGCTCTATTTTTAAACATGTAATTGGCAATGACTAAGCGATCATGTAATATTGATTGATATGAAACATGAAGGGTGTCTGGGAAGTTTCTTTTTATTTCTTTCATGCGATGAACAAACAATAAATTGCAAATAAGATTGAACGTGACAGATGGTCAAGGCAATCATGAAACGTGTTAAATTAGAGGCAACTTCAAAGACGGATACGATTGGCCAAATTTGCAAATGAAAAAGTTCGACGCATAATAAGCAAAGAAGAAGTTTTGTTAGACTGTCATGATATCACGCGTAGAATGAGGTAAAGAGTATTCATGACATCGTACATATAATTTTGCGTATTACCAGATCAAGGTCATTAATAGCCTATTTGCTTGGGGTTCAAGTTTTCAGAAGCTTTCAATAAATGCCAATAGTAAAAACTGTTTAGGTTTTGTAGAATTTGTTTACATCAAGGAGAACACAACAAACAAGAAAGGAAAAACAAGCAAAAACCACTTAATAATTTTTGAAAAATCTGAAATTAATTATATTTTATAATAACGCGTTGTGATTCTAATGTTAGAAAGTTTTAATTAATTTTGTCGAACAAACCTAGGCTAAAGAACGTAACGAATTATCCACTCACTTTGAAGCAGGGAGTAGCTAGATCAGGGGTCATCAACGCGTTGCCCGCGGGCACCAAGTCGCCCGCGAAGACCATATTAGTCGCCCGAAGGTCTGTTCCAAACTAAGCTTGATAAAGGTTCTTTTAAGTAAGCTACATCAATTATATTTTGTGCTGCTATTTTAGTATAAATCACACTTATATGGGAACTAGAAATGGCACTTTATTAATTATTGTAACCATCAACCTTATTTTTATTTGACCTCAGTAATGTGACGGGTCAATTTACACTCTTCCAATTATGACATCACACTGAGATCACTTTCCACGAACCCGCGCTTTTTCTTGTCCGTTGGTTAGCGGAGCAGTAATAATACAATTATTGATTAAAAAGAAAAATCCATCATTTTCACGATGAATGGGAGGTGGATATATTTATACCACCATGAAAACAGCCTGCGTGTGTCTAATTAGTGGGGCGATTTTAGCGACGGCAAAGCGAAGAGGTATTTCACATCTTGTCGCGTAATCTTCCGCGCTAACTACACACTGGTCAGCACAGTACGGACATAAAAAATCTCGCGATTCAAATCATACAGTAATCCTATTTCACGAGACCATCGTTTGTTTCAACCTATCCTTTCGAATCAACATTTTTGACATAAATTCAGGATAGGAGATTTACATATTTATCCCGGGGGAGAAGATAGCCGATAGGACGGCTTAACCATATGATAAACCACGGCTTCTCGCCGGTTACCATTTGATGTCGGGTATGGAAATTAGTTAGTTATTTGTTTCCGGAAGCCTGGACTTGATGGCGAAGGAAGCCTTAACCGACCAGCGGTTACGTGAACCACCCTACGGCGGCGAGGAGTCCAGCAATCCTTTTGCACATAACAATCCCCGCATGGGATTCTAACCTGCGAACCTAACGCTTAACACGATGGGCCATAGCGCCGCGACTCACTCCACCAAGAACAAACATGGAACACGCCTCACTGATGAAAATATGCAAGACTCCATCAGAGTTACAGTGTCAAGTTACACGTCGGAGTATAATACTCTGCAACATTCGATAGTACAACTGTTAAGTCCATTTTATCTTAGACTTGTGCAGAGTGTTGAAAATCAATTTGAAAACACTCAGTTTTGAAATACAAGTGTAATTGATAGAAATTTATTTGCAACGTTGTGATAATCGTTTGATTTCCTGAAGAATCCTAAAGTTTATTAGTGTCTATACTTCACTAAATACCAGTAATTATATCAATAATTGAAGCTTAATCGAGCAACTGATTTTTTTAGAAGTGTACATTGAACTGGTAGCCCGCAGCTTAATCTGTACCCAAAAAGTAGCCCTCGGCTTCGAAAAGGTTGGTGACCCCTGAGCTAGATATTTCATAATTTAAAAAAATTTATTTTCGTGACTGACTCTGATATTTTATTTGCTTCATGTAAAAGATTTCATTAGTTGATGTGGATTACGACTAACATTTAATCCTCCATTGCCCCCCGCAAAAATATTTTGTGGAAATGAACCTAAAAAACTCTCGGACATAAGCTAAAACAAAGTTTCTTTTATTTCGTCAAAAAGCATAACATGTCGGTATAAAAAAGCAATGGTAACCTAAAATTTGCGCTTTCGTGTTAGCAAACTCATCCACCATCTTCATCATATCAATTTTTCCAATTTGCTGCAAAAATCAGTAGCTTACCTGTGATCACTGTCGTGTAAGTTTTGGAAGAAAATTCATTCGCGCTGGCGCCATCACTTTTGGAGATTGAACACGCATCTGGTTTTCTACCGATACCACCGATGCTAGGCTTAATTCCTCCTCAGTTACGTTCGGTATTCCCAAGTCTAATTGTTTCAATTTTGGTTTAAATATTTTGTTTATCTTGGTTACTTTTTTTTTATACGTTCTTCCTCTTCTTCCCTTTATATTTCGTTTTTATGCGCCACTAAGAGGTTTTGCTTTCGACATCAATCTGACAGCCTTCGTAATTGTGCCGGTGGCCGGTGCAATCAAACCACACGACGCCGAAAATCGACGACTTCGGCATTGTTACGTAACAAAACGATTTATAAATTTACGGCAGAACTAACATCAACATTATAAGATGTGCATTACTGCTTTTGCGATGCAGCTTTTGGTTTTGCGGCTTAAACGTCTAAATTTTAACCGCTTGGGGCGACCGCGGGGTGGATGCTACGCCACTGGCTGCCTGAATTAGCACATATTTTCAGGGTTTTCATTTTTCAATCGCTTTCATCGTAACCGTAATAGCAAAGTAATTAGAATGGAAGAGCCCAACACAGACAATGAGAACACCAAGCTCATTCGCGCCTACGAAGATAAAGATTTAGAACAAAGTTATTCCAAATAACGACCTCCATACCCTCACATTGTACATGAATCAATTATAGGATAATTAAAGAAAAAGCATCTAATCAACACTCAAGAGGGCAAGTTCAAACAAATATTCTATAAAAGACAACACAGTTGATTTGAACTCTTGTGCAACATCGATTCATTATCTTGATATAGAGTTATTTAAAGAAGAATGTGGAAAAATTTTGAATACCAGTGGATGTTTAGCTTTTTATTTAATTAATGAACTTTGGAAGCATTAAAGAGGTAACCAAACCGAAAAGTAACTCCAAACATCTTGAAATAATGTTGAATCCATTCATAGCTGAATTTTTAATATACACATGATCATCCATGTAACTTTTCGGCTCTGAACAGAAATTGGCCGACCTACGATCAAATACAAAACAAAACGAAAAAATTGCTCAAAAATCATTTGCGAAACGAAAATGTCATTACGCCAGCTTGAGGACATATTTGGGACATTTGGCGATTATATCACTTTAATGAATCAAGGTAAACCAAATATTGATCCTTTGGAAAAAATTTGTAACAACATCAGAAAAGCTCTGGGTTTGCACGATGTTTATTGTGACGAATACATCATTTTACGTTCGAATTATTTTGCAACAATTAAAGAATTAATAGTGGGATGTAAATGATTAAAATTTGAAACTAAGCACTTCAGGCACCGGACATGTCACGTGGCGTATTATATTCATTCAGTAAGATATAGAACCAACATTTATTAATGCAATGTTTTCTCCGATAATAACTGACAGTTAGCCTGTTTTTTTAAGGATTATATTGAATAGGGGCCAAGGACTAAGAAAAAGTTTTTGTCCTTTAACAAGTGTAACTGCTTTTTGTATTCTTTTATATGTAAATAAATTTGTAATATATAATTACAGCCAACTTATTTTTTAAATATTTCCATCATTTCAATTGAATATTGTATGTACTATCTAGGACACAACGCTAAGTCCTAAAACAAATATGTTCAGTTTTTGTTCGCCCTCTAGTAATTTCTGTTGGATATCGTTTGAATATTCATGCGCATTTTCTATGCAAGATTTGTGCAGGAAAATCATTGAATCTAACAATATATCTATTGCGTTTAACGCATAGTAGCATCGGAAGACCCTGTAAATTGAACAGCATTACTATAACCAGTAATTTGCTATTATTTATATTTTTTATTTTATCAGGTAAATATCATTTATGTCGTATTTTGGGTCTCACCAATTTCTCAATTACTCCTCTGAAAATGATATTAAAAATTATTCAATTTTATTTGCGCTTGAACTTCTGTTTGTGTATTATTATACCCCAAAATTTTAGAAATCAAAGACGCTTGTACAAAAAGTATGTCTTCAGAATATGTTCCAAGTTACAACCTTGGCATTAGAAACAGACTTGCATTCGTTGGGAAAAATTGTCGATCACTCACTTGGTCTCCTGCTGAAGCGCAATATCTTCTGTCAATAGTAACAATAATATTTACAGCAGCTCCGAAGAAAGTCGTACAGAGACCGTTACCTTCAATTAGATACACGAAAGTGGTACCCATTTCCAAACATGGCATATACAATCCGTATTGGTTTTCATGGCAAAATTTTAAAATCCAAACGGTGAATACGGAACGTTACGTGATGGGGCCGAGAAAGTTCTGAAGTTCACTAGAACGATGTAAGAAGGTTGATGGAGGCGACCAGTGATTTCCGCATTACATTACAATGATTGAAAATTTTGCGCAACGGATGAAAGGTCATTTAAAACATATGATAAGGAAAACACAACGTTTGTGCAAAACGTACATGTCAATAAATGAATAAGTTTAAATCCTTAGAGAAAATTTTGATCGATTGAATATTGATGCATTATTGCAAGTCGATCAAATAAAGAGAATAGTTATACCAGCCCATCGAAAAGAAAAGCGATACAGAAAGAAAGGCATTCATACGAGTCATACGATTGTATGAAGATAAATAATTAGCATATACCTATGCAATACATAACTAAAGTAAACTAAGAAATGTTATTCAAACGGCACGTAGTACTTTCATGGTCGCATGATTAAATTACTAATACAAAACAAACAATTTTACATAACATTTATTTTATCAGAAATTAACTATAAGTAAGAAAGCTGCGCTTGTGGAGTTTATGAGATCGTGACTTTACTTACGTGTTAATATAGAAGTTGAGGTGTTTGCTGAGATGTTTCCACTTTATTTCAATGGTTTGCTCTAAATATTTTAAATTATTGGCGTTAAATATAATCGTAAGCGATTCAAGAGTCTTGCTACATACTAACACAAATATACCCACATGCACAAAAGCACAGAAGAAGGATACGTAATTATTCCCGTAGGAACCTAGCACATACTAAATATTATTTTGATAATTTCAACAAAAGTTCATTTCTATTCGAATCCCTCATTTCCTGTGACCTGTGTGACTTCTTTGTCATGAAGTGACAAGATGTGGGTACTCATGATTTACAATGCGTAGGGAGTAGGCTATATAACAATACGCCTCTACGGAGTTTAATATTATTCTTTGCCTAGAACTAGTTTTAACCATAAAACAGGTTATTCTTTATACAAAATATCATGAATATCAAAAAATAAAATAAGAAACAGAACCAGAATATGTTACGATACACCTCCACCCACCCTATTTTTACACACAAAAAATGTCCTACATCAACTCGAACTATTCGAACATGAACATATTCATTAGGATAAAATTCGAGAATACCCTGTGTGTTTTCATCATCAGCGATTTAAAAATCCCAATTTCGAACAATAATATTTCCAAGATTCTTTTGCGCACTTTCTTTCTCAAAAAGGTTTGTGAATTGAAAAATTCTACAAATTCTATTTTTTCGCCATGTATTGATGTAATTAGGATATTTTAATTATGAAAAATGAGTTTAATTAATCAGGGGGTCTGTTTGACAAAGATTTTTTCGTTTATTTTATAAAAATAGCCACAATTGCACTGAGATACATGGGATTTAGTTCTAGTAGAGTTTAAATTTGAGAACATTTAGGTTAGAAGAACGAGTGAAAATTTTTGTCACGGCAATTCGCAAAATAAGCCCTCTATATTTTGATTTCAAAAGCGAAAAAGGAAGTAGAAAAATTTCCGTACAATGTCACTTTGACTTCATTTTGCTACTGCGTTGGTATGTTCTAACACAGATTACAGCTGAAAAATAAATTGAACTAATATTCAGACGTTATGTTTATTATTATCTTCAGCTTGAAGCATAAAGTCTTGGCAAGCAATACAAACCGGGTAGCAGAAATGTAGCTGGTGCCTGCCGGGTATTGTCAACCAGAGATATATATTTGCGATTGTCATTTTATTTCGTTATTATCTCCCAACTAACCTATTTATTATCACCCCATTTTGAAATATGGCAAATCATGAGTGTCGCTGCTCGATAATCATTTTACCACGTCTCATTTCACTCTGAAATGCAATCTTGGGCATGTATACAATGTGTATTTTCAGTATGATGAAAAAAGAATATACTGATTACGATCGTAGAGATAAATTAGATAATTCGTAATACTACTGGCTACCGTGTTTAAAATTAGTCTTATAAAAAAGCAGCAAGACCTGTAATAAAATTTAAAAATATAAAAAAATACCTGTTGGTGCATTGTTATTTAACTAATTGCAATTTTTCGGGCTTACTTATTCATCTTATAAGGTTGTCTTCAACGTATAAAAATACCTGCAGCATTTTGAAATTGGGTTTTCAAACAATAGGTTATCTACGTTCCACATAGAGGCGATATGTCAATAACAAATTTGATTTATTTTGGTTATATTTTGACCGTTAGTTAACATATCGAAAGTAATAAAAGACAAGTAAGTGAGAAAATCGGTAACAAGGTGGATGAAATTATGATCACACCTTCTCACAATAAAATTTTCTGGACAATATATTTAGATTCACTCCAATAGTTATTATTGTCTCCCTCAAAAATTTATCTCGGCTTGATGACAGAATGTAACTAATGAACCACGATAGAAAGTTATATTCGTCGAACGTTTTAAAAAAAATAAGAATACAAAAGATGGATGGTACGATTTTCTGTTATCGAACAACTTTGCTTTCGATGAAGTCTAACAGTAAATAATGAAGTCATAAAATAAAGAGGTATTATTATAAGTCGCTCGTTTCACCGAGGTAAAACATATGAATCCTTCATTCAATCAATTAGCTAAGTTGTCACACACAGTGAGAAACAATTTTCATTAAAACCTCACTTGGAATAAACGAGTCATGTGTCAGAATTGCGTTTTGAAAGTACAAGAGCATCCACTTGCGGTTCCGATGAGACTTTATCTGAGGCCGGTGAAAGTGTTTCCAGCTGCAGAAAATAATCGCTCACTTAAGATACACTTTTTGTATCATGATAACCGGTGGCGGCAGATGCGTCCAATGAGTCGCCTTATGGGTTTGCTGGGCCATTTAAAAATTAAAGTCAAAGATGATAATATAAAAATAAAAACGAAGTAAAA